AAAAAAAAAAATGGGTATTTTCTTCAGTTTAATTGGAATAAACTATGAGGTATAAAAAAAGAAAGAAATGGTGGGAGGGGGGAAGGTTTATTACTTGTGGGTGGGTACAATTTTCCTGACAACTTGTAAATCTTCTTAAGAATTAACATTATGTAAGTTTTTGGAAGTGTAGAATGGCCACATCAGCTATGGGAAATGAAAAGTTCAGGACACGTGGCCATGGAATATGGTGAACAGATGAACAAGACTTGGGTGGAGGAGATCCCACCCTGGACTTTTTTCAGTCAGTTATAAACTAGATGACAAACTGATTTCTCCACTGAACCCGAGCAAGTTAACAGTAAATGGGTAAGGAACAGTGCTTCTAGTACAGGGTTCATGAGACAAATAAAGATTAAAGCAAACGTTTCTGGAATACTCAGTTTTGTTATTTGGATCCATGGAGAAACTTGCAGTTCCAGATGTATCTGGGCAAGCCCTCAGGGTAGAGAGACACCTGTACCTCCATAATGGGAAGTTGGAGAATCTCATTAATTGGCTTGAAGCTGTTTTGTTTTTATGGGCATGCAATCACCTGTTCACTGTTTTGCTGGAAAATAGAGAAGATCTTTTCATCACTCTGTAGCTTTGTGAATGGAATAAGCTTTTGTAAATTAAGTTACAAAAACTCTGCAGCTGGTTGGGTGTGGGTCAAATTGTTTAGCTAAGCTTCCTCTTTTTTCTATATTTATGCCAAAGTTAATTTTAGGTTCAATGTAAGAATTACAATGCATTCTGAATTCATTGGATCCAAATTTAAAATATTTCAGAAGAAAGGATGCACATTAACTAAAGATAAATAGGGGCAAAGCAGGAAAGTTGATCAGAATGGCAAACAGAAGTGTGGAAAACAACAAAGCTCCAAAGCAAAAAACTCATGAAGCTAATTCTCTGTGGTGGTTGTCCTTTACCTTACTAGACAGTTGCTGAAGGTATAATCTTCATTATTATACAAGGTTTCAAATGCCTCCTCCTCACCTGCCAAGGGCATTACTGAATACAGGGGGAAAAAAGCCTAAATAAACCAGACTAGAGTGACTTAATATTCAATGTCTTCAAAAACAAAAAGTCTAAATAAAGTAGAATAGATTGACTTTATATCGAATGTCCTCAAGCCATTTCAGAAAAAAAAAAACAAATTTACAGAATATTTTTGTTTACTAATAGTCATGAGAAGTAGCCAAACCATTTTATGGAGCTACATCTAAAATATAGTCTTCACAAAAACAACTTTTCTATGTTCAGATGAGCAAGACTCTTACTAAAATTAAATCACATTATTTAGTATTCTGTAGGTCTGCATAGCATTTTCTCATTCAACTGTTTAGATTCTCTCTATGTCATCACAAACCTTTTCAGCAGGAATATAGTTTCTATTAATATACTGCAATATATATATATATTTAATTTCTTCCTCTAAAACAGAGATGTATTTATAGTATAATTAAATATAGTCAAAGTAAAATTCTTTTTGAATTCTAAAGAAGTTGATATCTCACTACAAATGTATACTGAGAATAATAGTATGCTAAAAATAATCCTGGAAGAGGCATTTATGACTAAGTACTATTAATCAAGTTCATGGGCGGCCATAATTTTGAACTAACCTCCTGCACCAGGCCCCAGCAGACCAGACCAAGCACAAATGGAGTCACCCATGCTGTGTTACAGGACCAAACTGAAACTTTAAGCAAGCAGGCAGATCACCAACAGATCAGTTTTACCTGAAAACTGGAGATTCATGACATCAGTCAAAAAGAGACCAGTCTTCCAAAATCAGCATAATAATCCCCAATGCTCACTTAAAGTGACCAAGAGTAGCTTTTTTAGTTGTTCTACTTCCTTGTTCCCACCTTACAAAAATCAACCATTCTAGAATCACAATATCACCATCAAAAGTCAATTGGATGTTTCAATTAAATTTGTTACAATTTTGTCCTTTGATAGTACAATCTAATAGAAGAAAATAAAACAATACCTTCATTGAAGAGAATGTTACTCTCTATATACAGTTTGTGAAATCCGGGCATGTGTGAATTAGGCCAACGGGAAATGGAATTATTCGTGAATCACTTCAAATGGAAAAATGAAGTGGAATCCTTTGTCTCTCAGAGTGTGATCTGACTTTAATTCTGCTGAAAAGTAGCAGAGTAATTTCAAGTTTTCTTTAAGCTGATTAAAGTGGAAATTTGCCCACGTGCAGTCACGATGTTGAGGATAAAAACTCATTTATTCATCAATAGAAAATTGTGTTGTATGCTAAAGGTATAAATATAAGAGATTGTTCTCAAGAATATCAGAATCTACTACTGGGAGAAAAATGTGTAAACAGATTAGTGCAACAATGTTCACTAAGAGAAATATAATACATTAAAATATAGCAGCTAAGATAGAGACCTTTGCAGCAAAACTGCTTTTGAACATAGCAGTGTTTTGCAAACAGCATTGTCTTACCTCTGGGTAAGGAACAAATGAGAAGTAATGAAATTAGAATGATATTTTTGAATTTATAAGAGAGAATTTTATAAATTTATGAAAGTAAAACAGTATGCATTCTTAAATAATACTTTCAAAAACATGATGAAAAAGATTGGGGTTTGAGTGTTAGAAGGATTCTCTGTGGGTGTTGGCTTTTTTTATGTAGTAGCTTCACGGACTTTATAAAGTTTTACCTTTCCTGAGCCTTGTTTTTCTTTTTAAACTAGATATTGTACATACCATAAAGAATAGTTGAGGCGCAGCAAAAGTCAATTGTTACAAATTTATTATCTAACTGTTACAAATTTGTCATTGGCTTGGTGGAACTGAACTTAGCCTGCTCATGATCAAGACAATCAATATAGCCAGATTCATCAACCTATCTTTATTCAGTTGATTGAAGAAATCTTCGTATTTAATTTTAAAAGTTTCTTTCACATTAAAAAAAACAGATATAGAAATAGCAGAGATTCATAAAAGTTCCACTTCATAATAAATTCCAGAAATTGCAATATTGTCCTTCTCTTTGTTTCTTTGGGATCTGTTTTAGCAGTTCTCAAATATTTCTGCAACTGAAAATTTTCCACTCAAGTAACTTAATGAGACAATTCATCACAAATTTCTATCATACTTGGTAAAATTCTCCAAAACTTATAATAACTGTGGATTATTTTAGTTTGTTTCAGACTCAGTTCATATCTCCAATCCCTGTGGTACTATGTAATCTTGTGTTTAAATATAGACTCAAAATAAACAATTACAGCACAGTGATTATGAAAATACATGCAACAGAACTCCACGGCTTATTCTTGAAATAAACAAGTGTAGCCAAGCCCATGTGCAGCTGGTAATTAGAATTATTTCTATGTGGCATACAATGTTTATTGGAGAATAATAATTTTTTTTAAAAATGGAAATATTCAGTTTAAATAATTACTGTCAATTTTAGTAACTACAGAAGTTATTTGGCACTTATACCACCAAAATTCTGCTTTTGCTTTTTTTTTTTTCCCCCTAAGAGGAATAGTCTTACTGATGTTGCTTGGAACTCTCAGTGCATAGTCATAATAAAAACCAGACTGGCTTTTATTATTATTTTATTTTATTCCTTTTCAATTTTCTACACACAAATTACTCCCTTGTTCCCTGTTCTGAGGTAGACTACTCCCATCATCTCCCTCTTGGTATACCACTGGCTAGGTGAGAAGCCAGATGAAAAAGAGCACTTACTTTCTTTCAAACAGCAGGCCCGATTGTTTTTTGGAATTAAGAGATTCTAAGTATTTATAAGATTAATGAAGTGGCTTGTTGATTTATTTCTAGAAACATAAAACATACAAATTACATTCTCCCCTGCTCTTTCTAAGCTTACTCAAATTCTTATCATGTGCTTCATTGTTATCATCTCCAGATACTGTCAGTGAAACACTGGAACCTACTCTGATGTAGTTGAATGGGTGATATGCCATGTTTAAAATTTGGGGTTAGGTTTACAAATCTCTGCAGCACCATTTGAGGTATTTCCTGGAAGGTAAGAGTATCTGCTCACTCTGTATACATCCTCCCTGGTCAAAAAAGGAAATATCTGAGAAATTTAATTAAAGTTTAAAGTGGCCCATATTGTGAAGTTAATAGACTGTGGCAGATGTTACATTTCTGATTTCATAGTATTTAAAAAGAAAAAATAATAATTTGTGGTTAATTATTTCGAAGTCCTTCTATTCTAAGGACTTATTTTATAAATTGTGGTAAGTAAAATAACTGGAAAAAACAACATTTAATGCTTTTGGAATCAGATTTTCCACTACCTAAAATGATTATACCTTGTATGTTTTCTAAGCTTCACTGACAAATTTGGTTGAAGGAACTAAGCCATGTCTTTCTTAATAATCTCAAAGTAAACAGAAGAAGTGCCCATTTGGTGCTTCCTGTTTGGTTCTGCTGATGGACTAATATTCCCTCCTGCTGCAGCAATTGAGGATGTTTGTATTCTTGACCCCTCTGCAGGGAAGCAGGAAAGAATCTGAACTCTGATGACTTGCTGTGCTTCTGGCTTTGATGTGCTGCTCTGGCCTCTGTGGCAGAAGTTCAATGTGCAGAGGTACAGACCTGAACTTAAACCAGAAGCAGTGAAAATGCCAATGGAGAGATTGAGGTTTAGCTGTTGTGTCTCTTATTTCTGTACAAACAGAATTTCTCTAGGAACACACATAATTGTTTCAACTGCCCTCAAAATTAGGCAGTAAAGCATGCAATAATGTATTTTTCTTAAAAAAAAAATCTACATAGAATGACCAATCAAGTAGGAAGCATACATCAATAATGGGCCTGTCAATAACAAACAGAGAATTTTGGAATAAGTATTCTGAGAACACTTCAAAATTTGAATTCCAAATACTCTAATCCAGTGATTTCTCTGATTCTTCCAGCATAGTATTTGCCCAAAATCCTGACAGGAAACTTCATCCTCCTCCAGATCTACCTTTTTTGGAGTATTAACATCATAGGAGCTAAAAAGATAATTTAAAGTTATGATCTCCCAGATCACATTTGGAAGCCAGGAAGTTTAACACAATCCTGCATCTTAACTTGACCTTCCTTTTCCTCACTTGTTCACCTTATGAAGGAAGAGCGAGAAATCTATGAAATATTGTTAACATTTTAACTTTCTGCTAGGAAATAACCCTGTAACGTGTTTGGCTCACTTCCTCCTCTATGTCTAGGGTCAATAGCTTCCTCTTGATGTTGTGCTGTGTAATTAAGTAATTGAGAAAAACAGGGTCCATTCTGGAGAAGGATGGAGATACACCAGCCGGAGGTACCTGTTCCCCGCCTTCCCCCGTCTTTTCCCTTCTTTATTATATGCACCAATAACCACTTTAGATTCCACTGATGTCTCTTTAGGGGAAACCCATTCCACTTTCCCTGGAGTCAGAAGGCCTTCAGAGAAGACTTTCATTTTTAAAGATCACACAGATGACCCCCAACAACAGCTTTATGAAACACTGAGAGAATCTCACTTCCCAGCTAATCATTTTGAATTAGGGTTTTATTTTAATTTGGGATCCTCTCCCCCTTCCTTTTATAAATTGTTCCACTGGAAAGAGGTCAGGAAAATATATTTAATTTTCTCATCTTTTTAGTTATATTTTGTCTTCATTTTGCCCTTATACACTGTTAGATTTTGATATATTGGCTTTTCTTTCCATAAGTGTTCACTAAATTCATGTTCTACAGCTAAACAGTTAACAGTCTGGGGAGTGCCCAGTATCTGTACATTTGACAAATGAAGAGAGAATCTCACCGTTTTCTTGGCCAAGCAAAAGAGACATGGAACCTGACTGCAGTGAGCCAGGCCTTGGCTGCCTCTGCACCCATTCAAAAGACACCCAGTGTCATAGCACTGGATAAAGGCACAAGGCAGTGAGATAGGCAGGTGGGCCAATGGCCTTATACTGGCATCAGTTAAATTTTTTTAAGTTTTCTTTTTTTTTTTAGTTGTAGATGGACACAACACCTTTATTTAATTAATTAATTTATTCTATGTGGTGCTGAGGATCCAACCCAGTGCCTCACACATGTTAGGTGATTGCTCTGTCACTGAGCCACAACCCCAGCCCCATCAGCTAAATCTTATCAGGAAGACACTCTAAAGAGGTGAACTGGCATGAAGACCACAGTAATTGCCAAAAGATTTTAGAACTTTTAGCACAAGGAGCTTCTAAGATATTTTAAACATAGAGTTGTGTATGTGCATATTTTAAACATAGAGTTGTGTATGTGCATATGTGTGTCCACAGAAATCCCTGACGGGACCCTTACCTCAGACTTTCCTCTCTCCTTTGGAGCCTCTGACTCCTTGGGCTTCCTGCCTTCCTCCCCTCAGAGCTCCTGTAGGATGAGGGCTGTCTCCCAGTTACCATAGTGATGGGCCAGGAAAGTCATCTAAATGCTTGCTGTAAGTCAGACAGCAATTTATAAACCAGTTACATATTTGAGAAGGCAAAATTATGAAAAATAGAGGAGCCTCACAAGGAAGGCAGATGACAATTCCACAAGATGCTTGCATGTGACAGAGAAAAGTTGTCGAAACATCTAAATGTCTCAAGAGATCATTCATCTACCTCAGTTCCAACACAGGATATTAGGTTTTTGTTTTTGTTTTTTTAATGATGAAAGTTACAAGAAACTTAGAGATGAAAGTAAGGTATAAAATAAAAATAAATCATTTTGTATGAATTTTTTAAAGGGAAAGAGACCTAAACTAAATAGCTGATGGTACCTTAGAGATTGTTTATTATAATAGTATCTATGAGGAAGTGCACAACCTAACTCATGGTAGGCATTTTCTTAACCA